TGCCTGATAAAAAAAAATCTACTTCAAGTTAACTGGACCAAATTAGTTAAACATTGGCATATAGGGGGCACTATAACATGAAAAACATTTTTTCTCGCAAAAATGGCTAATTGGATCTTTACAAATTCTGGTACAGACCTTTATAACAAGACCCCATGTTTACACCTTAAGGATAATATTTCTCAAATAAAGTGGACATGGTTTAGAGCATCTCAAAGAAAAATATTCCCCAAATCAGTCATAAAGCCTAAACTTTTTAAAGTTTTTAGAAATTTTCTCAAAGGAAAAATAAAGAATGCTAACTTTTATATACAGTAATAATAAAAAAATACCAGCATTGACCCAATAGGTGGCACTACAATTATGGTCAAAACCGTAGAACTGTAACTCCAGAATTCTAAGCTTTATCAAACGGACTAACAGGAATCCTGATGGTTTATGATGTTTGCAGATTACACTGTAATCTGTAGTGAGAACAGAGAAGAAGTGAAAGACAGCTTGGAGAGGGGCAGGTATGCACTTGAAAGAAGAGGAACGAAAGTCAGGTGTTGCAAGACTGAGTACCTGTGTCTGAATGGGAGGGGGCAGGTGGAACAGTGAAGCTACAAGGAGCAGAGGTCACAAAGGTGCAGGACCTCAAGTACTTTGGGTCAACTGTCTAGAAAAACAGGTAGTGTGGTAAAAAAGTGAAGAAGAGAGTCCAGACAGGATGGAGTGGATGGAGAAAGGTTTTATGACAAAAGGGTGGCAGAAATCTTTAAATGAAGAAATTACAAAAGATTAGTATGACAAGTTGAAATGACATTAATTTACAAGACAGTGGTGAGACCAGCTATGTTGTATGGTCTGGAGACAGAGACATGGACAAAAAGACAGGAGACAGAACTGGAAGTGGTTGAGGTTCTCCTTAGGAGTGACAAGGATGGAGAAGATCAGGAATGAGATCATCAGAGGTACAGCACAGGTTGAACAACTGGGAGATAAAGTTAGAGAGGACACACTGAGATTGTTTGGACATGTCCAGAGGACGGACAGTGGTTTGGACATGTCCAGAGGAGGGACATTGGGTATATTGGTAGAAGGGTGTTAGAAATGCAGCTGCCAGGAAAAAGACAAAGAAGAAGGCCAAAGAGGAGATATATGGATGCAGTTAGAGAGGACATGGAGGTAGGTGGAGTGAAGACAGAGGACACAGAGGACAAAATACGATGGAGGAGGATGACTTGCTGTGGAGAACTCTGAAATGAAAAAGCCTAAAGATGAAATATGAGTTAAACTTTGACAGAAAAAGCTGCTGAGACCTTCGGTCCTCATCTATACCTTATATTTTCTTGTCATCATATTACAAGTCTGTAGTACACAAGATTTAAGATGTGCTTGGAATGAAATACCAGGGTGGACATGCAGCAAGTGGCGTGGACTCCAGTAATAACTGCTCGCTGAGCTGTTCTAGTTTCTTTTTGAAGCTGTGCACCAAGGTTAAGGTTTAGTCAGGGATACATAATTCCACTTTCCAGGAATCAGCTTATAATATTCTTTCATTTGTTTTTGAAGTTCTTTCAATGAATACTGGTTACCTACTTGAACTTGTGTTACTTTATAAACTAGGTGTTTTTGAACCAAATCGTTCTAAAGGCTTTCTGAGGGTTATAATCACTGCTGGGCCCTTTCCCACTTGATGATGACCCCAATACAAAATAATACAGCCTTTGCATGGTCTTAGCGAGGTCTTTAGCGACGTATTAGAAACACAGTAGGCTCTGGGTGCGGCACATTGATATGGGTTGGTTGTTGGAAATTTGAAGTGGGACTGCTCAAACCAGCCCATGAACAGCCCAATCAAACTAAGATGTGGCATTACCATAGAGTGATCTTGCATGAAAAGTTGGCAATTCTTTTACAATGGATGTCCTTTCTGGCTCAAACCTGCAGCCTCAGGACTATGAGACTGGGGCATTGAACATCAAGCTATCACGGCCCCAAGTGTGATCTTCTAGCATAGGGGTCCTCAAATGGCAGACCTCTGTCCAGATACAAAGTTGTGTCTGGACTCAAACTGTTTTTTAAAGTTTAAGTGATATTCCAAAACAAGCAATGAGCTAGACCATGTATACAGCTGTCACAGGTAATACACTTGTGTTTCATTTATTTTTATTTAACCTTTATTTTACTGGGCGGGACATTAAAAAACATTTCTTATTTACAGAGTTGGTCTGGCAGTGGCAGTGGTTACCTTGGTATGTTGCATGAAGATCTGTGGTTGAGGGTTTAAACCCAGTGCAGTCAACTTCTGCTGCTTAATGAGTGAAAGATGTAGAAATTATACCACATCATCAAAGTTCATGCTCAATAAACCACATCAAGTTTTGATGAATGCTACATTACAAGCAAGCCTTGAGAAAGGAGCTATATGGTAAAGATGAGAAGATTATGGAAACTTCAAAGCTCAACATCTAGATTGACTCAAAACCAAGTTTGAACCCAACAGTCACATGATGAGTCTGCTATCACACATAGAGTTTGACAATGTACAACAAAGATGCTGCGGTAAAGGGGAGTCACATTAAGAGGTAAGAGGAATTCTATCACCATCCCCATCATTTCATTATGGAGACTAATGTTCCTTGAAAAGCCCTAATGAAATGAATACAGGATGCCTGATTTGAGTCTGAAGATCATGACCAAGTCAGACACCTTCAACCTACACCTCCTTCCTAAGGCTAAAACTGTCTGTTAGATGTTTGTTACAATATGTGAATGCCACACTGCTTAGTACCTCTACTGGTACCATCACAGAAGAAGCTTGAAACCGTGGTGAGTTGCTCAGTTTATGCAAGTTGGACTCGCATGCAAATCACTCTCTTCCATTGTTAAAGGCTTTGTTGACCTAGTCCACATGCAAGATGTCACATGCAGGAACAGCCGATTGGTGTAAAACCGACAACGGGTTAGATTCAACACTGCATTGTGCGTCCTGGAAAGCTGAAACCTGAGAACTCCTTTGTTTAAGGTTGGTCTTTCTTGCTTCACACAGATTGTTCCTTTATGCTTCTCTGGAACCATCTTCTCTGTCAAAGGTATGAACATGACCAGCCTCAAAAGAGTGTACCTTATCTATGTGGTGTAGGTGAACGTCTAAAGAGCTCGGGACTCTGGACTCTCAGTTTAAATTGAGAAAGCTCTCCACATGAATATAAAAAAGACAAATGATTGAGAATCTCCAGCAACAGAGTGGAACATATCCTGATGCATGTTTAATAATCCAGGTAGAAAATTCTAAAAAGTTAAATCTGGTCCTCTGGACATTGGTTAACCAATGTGTTAGAGACTGCTTAGGAAGCAAACGTGAAGTCTCTGTAAGACCTGATAGCAACAAATGTGCAAAATGTCTCAAATTTAGTTGTGCATTCCTTTATTTTCATTAATTAATGTCCTTACGACAACTCAGCAGATTTTTCCATCTTTTCTTCCTTTCTGTGCTGCTCTTTTGTTAGTTTATGCCATCCATGCCTATTTTTTTAAACTGGAGGACAAACAGGACAAAGTTTTAACTTGAATTACCCTTCAAAATAAGAGTACGCTTCTGTTGTAGCTTGGCTGGAACAGATGACACATTGCAAACAGCATTCACAATGAAGTCTCCAAATGTTCAGACTTGTTTAAAATTTTTCACTAGTCACAGGGTTTTGCTTTCATTTCTTTCATATGAGATTTGCAAAATACATTTTGTCTCAAAATAACCAGGGTCATTGTGAACATTTCTCAAACTTGTCTGGAAACCTCAGGTTCCCTTTTGTTGTTTCTTCAAAGCTGTGTCGTGAGACATTCTCTTTATTCCTGGCAAAGTTTGGCCCTTATTGGCCCGGTGTTTGTGCCAATGTGTATTTTCTCACAATTGTGTGTCACCAACAATTACAGCTCTGTGAGATACAACCTTACCAAAGGGACGTTGATATAGGTCAGGTGTTGTGGGAGTAGATGTTAGCGCTGTACAAATTTCAGGATTTTCTCATGTTTGCTTTTAATGGAAGGTGAATCATGCAAAATATATAATTTAAACTATATGGCCTTTTTTTTGTTTGCTCCAATTAGTGTAGCACATCCCAATGTCTGACGTTGAACAAACCTATGCAGATTTTATGACTTGTACCATAAATTCTTGCACCAACTTCCAAATTTCAGCACTTTGATCGGTGCAGATTTAGCTCTTCTGACATGTTAGGATACGTCAGGAAAGAGGCTGTTCAGATCACCTCAGCGGAGCAAGAAAAGACCTGTCTGCCCCAATTTACTGGCTCTACTATCTCTTTATCATTACGCACACACACACACCCTCAAACACACATAAATTTATTACCACTTACCCTGTATTTCCAGTGCGGTAGTGTTTAAACTCATATCACTAACTGCATCAAATTTCTCTCTCTATTGACAGAGACCTCACCACATTGTGTTCACACACACTGCCCAAAATGCCACACACATATAGACTGCTACACAACACACACACTGCTACACACATCTCCCTGCTGTGACTTTCAGGTAAAGTCTTTGCCAAACACCTTCCATCATGACGGGACATTTACCGTTTGAACAAAACCAGTTTTGAGCTGTGTGAGAGGAAGTTCTGTTCAGATGTCAGACCTGGTTTCATCTGATGTAGATAAACGGAGCCACATGTTTTTGTTTTCCAACCAGTAGAAGACAAGAAGTGCTTTTAGAAGATTCTTGTCACATTTTGACATAAAAAGTTCAATCTGTTTCACTGGAGCTGCTCATAATGCAAACAAAAGGTCACGAAATCATATCTGCATTAGTATAGACGTTACTTCTTCTAGATAATTTAATTTTATAGTTTTAACTGTGTAATGCTCCTAAATCATCCCCTCTAAGCAGGACCAATCTAAGAAGGCTGTATTCTGGTTCAGTCCTTGCAACACACCCATCGTTAGGCCGTTCTATCGCGGCCCTTGACCATATCTTGATCAATTTGAGCTCACCTCATAAAGACGGGCACTCGTCTATAGCCGCTCCCGGATCAGGCTTTCTTTCTCTCTTCTGTAGTCTTCTCAAATGTTATGTGACAGCAACAAAAAGCACAGAGAGTGCGATTAAGATGTGAAACAGAAGAGACTGAGGTGGAGAACGCCCAATACCCCCCCCCTCTTTTTTTTCTTGCATCTCTTCCAGAAAACCAGTTAGAGCAGTCCTCCCCTTGAGGAACACAAACACTGAGGCCTGGGCAAGTTCTCCCTTGATATTCCTGTTTTACTGAAATCCCATATAACTGGTTAAACCGGTCCCTTAAACCACCATAGCGATAAAGGGACAGAAGTGAACTGGGAAATAGCAAATGGCCAATGAAGACCTTTGTCATTGTATTTCTGAACAAGTTTGGTACTTTAAATTTTTATCACTTAAGCTGTAAAACAGTGGCATAGATTTCTACAAATCTTTTCTTTAGATTTCAGTAAATAGTTTGTAAGGATGTATAATGCCAAAACTTTTGCACAAGTTAATTTGGAATGCACAATAATTGTAAAGTCTAATGCTAATGTAAAAGAGGGCATGTCTTAAAACCTGTCACGTTTGTGACGGGATAGATCCATGGAGCACGGAGAAGACCATGTCTGGGGCACTGGTATGTAAATTTGAGGGCAAACAGTGGACCATAGCAGAGGATTGTGTAATGTCGTGAAGAGGAGACACGATGGATGCCTTGTGTGATGTGAAAGAAAAAATCTCTTCCTGATTCCAAAACCAGATTCCTCAGAACCTGTTTGACAGGGCTATGCTGGGCATCTTTATCGTCATTGTTCGACTCGCCACTCCTCGCGGCTAAATGAACCGTAAACATCTAAACCTACGTGAAGATTGATGCATGCTTTCTGTTGACAGTGTCGAACGTGTCACACCAGTTAAAGCTACACAGGAGTTGTGCCAATTTTAACAGAAATACCAGTATGGAGTCAGAGTTGGGATTATTCTTATCAATACCAAGACCAGAGACAGCATAAGAATGGCTGAATGATACACAAACCCTGTGACACTGTTGCGCTGTAATTCCACTCATAGCCTTTATTTGCACAGTTTGTCTAAAAGGGCTTTAGACATAGAGGAAAAAAACTCAGCCATTTGACCCAACCCTGCAACCATGATAGTAGACACGTGTGGAGCGTGATTCCAGGAAGAAGTTAAATGAGTTCCAGGTGCTGACAGAAAGGCTGGACCTGAGAAAACTGAACTCAAAACTACTGTGTGCAGACACAAGAGGCGAAACAGGACAAGACAGGATGACGAGACCAGAAGTCTAAAACGTCTGACCCAGTGGTCTTGTCAGAAATGAGCCTCGGCATTCTTCACATTCCACCATTTAAAGCCAGAAGTCGACGAAATCAGACCTGACTGGACCTCTGCTTCAGGATAAGATGTTCAACTCGGTTACCTTTGCTAACTACTTTAACTTGTGCTAAACTGTGAGTTGGGTTTTCTAAAGCAACATTATTTGGCATTAGATAGTTGATGCTAATGATTAGCACTAGCTAGCACTAATCAAATTAACCAGAAAAATGTGAATGTTGAGCGCTGAATGGAATTTGTTGAAGAAGCTGAAACTGGTTTGTCAAAAATAAAATAAGCAGAACAAAAGCTTAAATTAGAAAAAAATGTAGCAAAAAGGTATATCTATGATCAGTAGCTACAACATAAAGTTATCAGTAGCTAAAATCTAAAAACAGTACAATAGTTAAAAAGCTAAAATTAAGAAAACATAAAAAAAAGCTAAATAAATTGGTTAAAACTTAAAAATAATACAACAAATAAAATTAGTAGTAGCTAAAATCAATACTAAAACTATAGCTAAATTACAAATTAGAAAAAGTAGAAGCCAAGACCCTAAAGTAGTACAATAGCTAAAAGCTAGGATTAGCAAAACATTAGCAAAAACTTAGCTAAAACCTAAAATTACCATAAAAGCAAAATTAACTGAAGCTATTGTTAAGTTATAAATAAACCATAAATGGTAGCTATAACATACAAAATACAATACCTAAAACCTAAGATTAGTATAACATTAGCTTTAATTTAATTTGTAAACAATAGTTTAAAGCATAATGTACTAAAACTACAGTTTCATTTTAAGTTAGCAAAATTAGTAATTAAAACCCCAAAATAGTACTACGTCTAAAATCAATTGTTAGCAAAATAACTAAAACCTAAAATGAACAAAATAGTAGCTACAATCTTAAATTTGCACAATAGCTAAAAGTTAAATTTACTTAAAGTCTAGTTAAATTCTAAGTCAGCAAATGAGTAGCTAAAACCTTACAATGGCTAAAACTAACAATAAATAAAAGCTAAAAAATAATAAAACTATTCCTCACATATACTATGTCTACATATGATGAGAATTATATTAAAATTAAAAATGATCAGAATACTAGTTAATACATAAAATTACCATAAAAATTAGCTTAATTTATTCAAATTATAGCTTAGTCACAAATTAGCAAAATGGCCCATAACATATAAAAAATACACTAACTAAAGTTTAAATTAGTAAAACATTAGCTTCAGTTTATAATTAACACATAAGCTAAAAGCTAAATTTACAGTGCTGTAAATAACTAGCCAAATTATGAATTGGCAAAACAGTAGTGCTAAACTAAAATTATAAATCCCTATTATTTGAATAGAACCAAAACCATAAAATAATGTTTAATTTTTAAAGTGTGTAAAAGTTGCAAATGCCAAAAGTTATAGTACTCATCTGTTGAATGATTTGATATCAGGTTGTTCAAATTAGCTAACAGCATACATAAGAGGTAAAATGTTGAATTTTGTATTTAAGTAACTAAAAACAGGACAACAACAGTATGATTGCTGACTCAGCATTTATCTAATGACCCAGATATTGGCTTATTCATTTTAACTCAACCTATTATTTATTTATTTATTTATTTATTTATTTATTTATTTATTTATTTATTTACCTTGGACCAGTCACTGAGATCACAGATCTCATTTGGATGGGAGGCCTGGGCCTGAAGGCGCCCTGACATGCATGTTTTTGGACTGTGGAGGAAACCGGAGTACCCGGAGAAAACCTACAAGAAGAACATGCAAACTCCATACAGAAAGACCCCAGGTCCAACATGCCCAGGACCCAAGACCTCTTGCTACATTATGTTGTGCTTTTTAGACTGATTAGAAGGGATTATTTGATTAGACTGCTCAAGATCAGTAATTTGTTATTATTTTTTCCCATTGAACTGAGCAACATTACTATTATCTTAAAAGTCCATTTTTTTGGTCTGTGTCAACAACATTTACATTAAAACCCTCTTGAACCTAAATGCTAAACATGAACTGACTGTAGTGTTTACTTCCATCCACCAGAGGGCGGTGTTGGACCATCGGGAAGAGGAAGGCTCAATTGATGGGACAAGAAAACATTTTAGATCAAACTTTCTCCTTTTATGATGAGAAATAATAAACAACTGACAATAAAGTGCCATTCAGAAAGATAAAAGCTTATGAGGACAACAATGACTGCAAATGGAGGTCAGGGTCAAAGGTCAAGCCTGTAGTTTATTGCTGTTAGACTTTTTTTTTAACTGCCCTCTCTCCATTGATTCCTTCTTCTTCTTCAAAGTAAACAAGTTTTAAAGGGTGAATCTGCAGAAAGAGCTTCTGGGTGAAAAAACACCAACAAACTACAACTACCAAGTTTCACTAACTGTGTGTGTGTGTGTGTGTGTGTGTGTATGTGTACAGGTTTTTATTGTTTTTGAGGACCTGTGCTGGTATCTGTACCTGCCTTATTGGGACCTGTCATCCTTTTGGGGACCATAGCCCTGTCCTATTATTCTGGAATGCCATTTCAGAGTTTGGGGTTAGGTTTTGGGCTAAATTCCATCCTGAGCCTGGTTCTGGTCCTGCTGGAGGTTTATTCCTCTTAAAAGATTTCTTCCCACTGTCACCAATATGCTGCTCAGGATGGGAGATTAGGATGAAGTGAAGGCTAAACTCAATCTGTTGCCTTCTGTAGATAACTTTTACAAATAGTCATTTCATAATTTATTAGCTTTTTGGTGCTAGATAATTAAAATTAATTGATTTAAAAAATTGTTTCCATTTCAATTAGCGTTTTAAATAGTGGATTTATTTTAGTCATGGTGGTACCACAGTGTCTTTGGTCCTCAAAGTATTTTGAAGATTGCTTTTATTTTTTAAGTGTTTATTTGTATTTTTATTATTTTTATTTGGTTGTTGATATTTTGTTTGCACAGTCCTGTATGGGTGCAATAACCCTCCTGCTGCCTTTGGGTTAAAATGGCCCACAAGACCTCAGTGTTAAAACTGGTCATTTTGACCCAAGGGCAGCAGGAGGGTCCATTTGTAATTGGTCTAAATTAGACATTCTGTTGCTGAATGAATTTTAGAGCAAAATAATCTAGACCACTTAAATGCAGATAACTTTAATCACATTTAAATCTAGTTACTTTCAGTTCAGTCCAACTATAATTTAAATAAACTGAGTACAGGTCAGTGAGAGTTTTTCTTTAATTTAATAGAAAACATTAGTAACTGAGCCCACTGACATCTTTAAGTGAGGTAACTCCAGGTGGACATAGCTTGAAGTGACTTACGACAGGATGAGAGATAATCCTTCATGGCTGCGATGTCTGTTCACACCCCCTCACTTGTTCCCTCCCTCCTTCTCCTCACCTCCTCTCCTTCACCTCTTATTTATGATCATTACCTTGACCTGCACCGGCCGTCACTGAAACACCCACAGGACAGTAAATCACCGGAGTTTCCCTCTCCCAACGTAACGTAAACATAGTTTGACAAACCCGGTGAAGACGGGCTCGGCCTCGGTGCGCATCGATCACGACGTCGCTGTAACTGCCTTGCTGGAGATATTTTAATTTAATCCAAAAAGAAAAATCATTGAATACAATTATTTAAATGGCAGAAGGTCGTTCGAATAGTTTCATATGGTCTAAATGACTAAATCTTGGATTTATCATTTTTTTGGTCAAACCTTGAAATAACTTTCCACACCTAATATGTGATGC